TGCTTGTACTGCGGAGGTTAGAACAGCGCTGCACTCAAAAGCTTGGCATCGTGTGCCGACTGCTGGTTTGAGATCCGCTGGTCGTTGCAAATATTATGGTTAGAGTGAGCACGCAGGGCACACCCGCCATTCTCCTCACTCGCAAGTCGAGATAACCCGTCGCTTATCAAGGCGAAGTACAGGCATCTTCCCATAACCGCTGCTGGATTTAACGGAATACCTCTTCTCGATGCTCTGCATCAGTCAAGTACAAGGCTCCAGCTTTCAATTGACCCGTGGTGAACTGTAGGCAACATTCTGCCATCTTTTGACCGAGCAAGTGCACCGAGTAATATAGCATAAACCGGATGCGAAGGCCTATCGAGTCGGACAGTACAGTGATGATGGCGCTTGCCCCAGTGATGACAAGGACCACAGTTTTTATTCATTTAATCAACCACCCCAGACTGAAGTCCATATCCAATTTCCCTCTTCATCGTATACGATCTCTGACAAGGTTACGCATGAAGGCCTGTTTTGTTCGTGCGTACTTACCAGGTGATCATCTTGTACGTCCTAGGTCCGTAGGCTAAGTCAAATGCCGACTGGTTGACGACCAATAGGACAGACATCATTTACCATCGCATTCCATTCCACATGCAGACAACAGCATGTACGAGTGTCTCTCGCTCCGACCTTGTTACGCATGAAAGAGTAGTTCACGAACTACTTTTCTGTATACGAGGAATTTTTATCCTCCACATTCGGAATCCGAAATTAGTTCCGATCAGCGACAAAACAGAGTGGTCCAATACGAGTCCTTAGCAGAGTGCATACCAATTTGCTCAAACTCCACCACATCGTTGATACCGACCAAACCATAAGTTGAATGTACGAGGTGGCAGATGTAAAACTTTGACATTTCCCCAAAGCGGCAAATACAGTGAGCCATTGTTTACTTCACTTAATCACAGTTTTCAACTCGAACATAAATCAGTTTGAATATCTACGGTTCTCCCCTCAGCTGAATAATGTCGAAAAGTGAGTGAAAACCCTTAATTGAAAAATTGGACACACGCCGATGAACCATTATGTAAGCAACTAGAAGCTGATATACATAGCCATTGGAGTATTGATATCACACTCTGATCTCACACTCATTAGATTATTAGTACACTAACCGTGAATGATGAGCATATGTATGTAATACATAACATACAAATGTCATTGTTCACCATTTCATGCGCGCCTTTGCGATAAACACAAACCAACAATTTTTCCTAAATTATCATGCAAAGATATATCTATATATCTTACACTGAAAGACCATGAAATAATGCTTCCAAACGATATAGATTTTTGTATAAATACATATATAATAACAACCCTTAAAAAAGGATTTATGACACCAGATTTACATTTTGCTCGCACGATATTATTATGTTGGAGTATGTACACATCAACAATTTTGATCCTCGTCCTACGATTGAAGTGGAGGCAAGGCTCCGAAGTAAAAGATAATGGGCCAGGATGGAGTACAAGAAGTGAACATTTTACATGTGAGTCTTCTCCTGGAACGACGACAGGGTCGTTCAACGAAGATAGTCCCCCATGCCAATTTCGTGGACCAAGGTTCAGCTACGGTGTTTGACCAACATAGGCTTTGAAGAATGTACCGTCGACCTCATCAGAGGAATGTATGAGTTCAGACAAATGTACATATAGTGCGAACGTGGCTGAAAAGCAACTGCTTTGGACCTTTTCATTATACCTCCTGCCTGCTTGACCGCCACCTATGTTCAAGATAATCACAACTCGCGAGGAGGAAGCATTTTGTTCTCCGCAAAATTTAACGCTTATGCCAAACTCCAGATCCTTTGGTAATTCCTCACAGTAAGTTGCACCAGATCTTTCACCGCTTGTGCCAGGGCATCCCTAGCTCGGAAGCTCAGCAAGCATGGAAGTTACAGCCATTAGAGAACCAATCGTGCAATTACGTTTGTTCGCACGTGAATCGTTGGTAGGGCCAATGGCACCGTATATTATTTGGGGTTCAAGCGGCAAAGAACGAGTCAGGACTACTTGGAATGCAGTATCTGGAGTTCAGAATCTCAAAATGTTTACAGTGGATGTTTGCAGCTAATCTCAAAACGCCTCTAACTAGGCTGCCTGCTCTGGTGGTTGAAACCGATCTGCCTGGACATCAGTTTTGTGGAAATCCCGTGATCTCCAAAAGAGCTGTGGGATATGCCGAATAAAAAATAAAAATTATCCTGTTTCTGTAATTATGAAAGGCTAATTTGTGCGACTCTGGTAAAGTATTTTGAGAAGATCGATAAAAGGAAAAACATGGAGGGACTCCCAAAGCAACAAGCCAAGTAAGGAGACTTGATATCTCCAACATAGGATATTGACATGAGATCGTTCCCATAAACTTGAAGGGGGATCGTAAAATGTCCAAAATTTCTCTCGCAGTCCCGAAATGTGTGTATGCAACTTCCCGTAAACCGTGAAAAGCAATTTTGGTGGTCCGGAGTACTGAGTCCACTTTGCTCTAGGGGATAGAGGAAAACCAAGTGAGTTTTGGTTATGACATGACCTCCTTGCAACAACAGAGGCAATACCTGTTGAGTAACACTGAGTTCAGCGTTGGGACAGGCGTAGGCTGAATCTTCCACCTGACGACCAAATCCTAGCGTGCAACATTTCTACCTCTCGTTGGCAGACTCCACCTGCAGCCATCTTTTCTATGCATGTGAGTGAGTGCAAATTTGTTTGAAACAATCTGTCAGACTTTTCCATACCTCGGGAGTTCCAATATGTTATCATTTGTCTCTTCCTGTACCTAACTGCTAATCTGTCTATGACGATAACATTTGGAACTCATGATTTCCAAGTCCAAGTCTGATTCGATTTGGCGTTTCTGGATCTCAATGAGTAACACAGAAGAACTCAAATGAGGTCACTATTAAGGCATCCAGGAGTCACTTTGATCTTTTCATTGTTTCAATCTAAGATCTCACTTCGATAAACTGGCATAAAGACAGGTAAAGCCTCTGTGGTATGAATAATATGGCATGGTTGAAAAACTTTTTATTTAAGGAAAACAGCATCAAACACACGAGGACCATGACTTCGACGATTGTGAATAATGATAAGGCTTTTCTGTTTTAATGAATTCCAGGCTTCAATGAATCTTGTCAATGGCTTGAATTATTCAGAATGTGGCCGGAAGGAAAAGCTAAGAATAGTTGTGGTTGAATACAATAACGATATAAATACCAATTCACTTGTGATATGATGCGAGGTACTTGCGGATTTGCTGTTATAGCGTTGAGCTATTATTGATCATCTTCCAAAAATATATATGAATCATGCTCATAAACCATACAATGTAAATCATGAATACCATTGTCACCCATCAGGATAACGCCTTGCGATTCAGATCGGCATCCTCGGGCACCTCCCTCCAAGTCTTCTTCGAAAGAAGTAGATTAGCTTGGATAATGTTGATGTACGCTGCATAAAAAATGTGCAAATATACAATCCATCCATACATTGTAACATTGGTGATATACTTCAACACCTCTATTGGTATTCCAAATCTCATGGGTAAATGAAAATACGTATAGATAATATAGTCTAGTCTATGGACTAAACAATTGTTGTGCTCTGAAGAAATAATGTTGAACTCTATTTTTAGTCCGTGGCCGAGTACAGATGATGTCATTGGAAAGATTTGGGAGCTGGATCCTAGATTTGTTCTACATTTTCCGGGGGAAAAGACACAAGGATGGAATAAAAGTTTAGAAGAGCATGTTTTGGAAAGACCATTTATATGCAGTAATGAGGTAAAACGCCACCGCTTCAGCTGAAGCTGTACTTGGGCATTGTAGACTAATCTCCTCTGGTAAGATATTATTTGGTACTATTCGGAATTTTATGTTCGACTGGTGTTGTCCAGGTTGCCAGATAGAGCTTCGGAAACTTGTTGCGAGAGGAGCTTTTGAAAATCTCGACTTTTCCAGTAGACACTTAATCTCAAAACGTAATGCTTTGGACCGTGTTAGACCCGATGGGTATACAATGCGGTTCATACCTTTGTAGCACATCGTCGTATACAAATGGCAGACGATATCTAAAGGTCTGGCGTGATTTTCTAGAGAAATTCTGAATGATTGCAACATTCCGACGCAGCAGGTCCAAGCCTCCGCCTTGATCCCCGTCAAAAGAGTCTAACCCCATGCATCGCAGAGACGTCGAGCTACTACTACACAAGTGGTGGATCCAATGTAATACTGTTGCAATCTCATGAACAATACTCATCTAAGAAAAGCACACGAATCCATTCAAAAGTTGATGGGATCAATACAGTCTCCCCCGGAATGACGAGCCTCCGAAGCTTGTGGTCACGTCGATGTAGAGGGATTTCGAGGTTTGAGACGCGGAGAAGTCGCAGCCACCAAACAACGAGGTCCAGCCGAGGTTTCGTACTTGGACATGGAGGGAGATGGAGGGAGAGACATTGTCGTACATACGGGGAAGAGTACGTCGGTATTTACTGGAAAGATTCAGCCGAGGGATGGACTCTTGGGAAAGAATCAACGAAAACTTGGGCCTGATTAAAGACTCGGACTCCACCCAATCCTTCGGCTGGGTCGTGTTATCGATAATCTATCTGCTCTCCTTTAGAAGTAAGGCTGAGCCTGTCAGCACTGTCCAAGGGACGGATGACAAGCCGGTGACCGATAACTGGCCCTCGGAACTGGATCTGGATCCGCCGTCAGAGTCAACCCAACCCACCACCGAACGTTTGGAGGGAGGCACCGCACGGAAGCGAATCCTTTTTGTTTCCTGCAGCGCGACAGCAATTTCGGTTAGCTCGGTTCACTTCGGATCTGGATGTTTGCTCGCTCGCTGGTTGCAGCATCAGGGCCGAGAGAAAATCGCCTACTGAATATGGTAGAGCTCTGGGAGGTAACCATGGTATGCGGGGGTATAGCAAAATATAAAATTGGGCCCAGCGGCAGTCGGATCAGAGACTCAGAGCTCGAGCAGCTCAAGTCTGAACGAATTACGAGAGAGAGGATCTGATCAGAGCAGAGAGGGCAGCAGCACTAGCGTAGCTGGATCGGCTGACTCTATATCTGCTGTTGCCGGGAGGTGATGAGTGGAATCGGGTCCCAACGGATCATCTCGACGTCACGTACTCGAAACCTCGCGGGGCCTCAGACGAAGCTGTAATTATCTCAGTTCCATGGTTCTGGCTGCATGCACTGAATACTGACGAGCAATTATTGTTGCCCGCTCGGCTGCTCGACTCGTGCGAGCCGAGAGGTCGATCGATCATTCGACCCATCCCGAAATAACAGCGATACAGTCCAAGCCAGACAGAGCGTCAGCCAGACAGACATACCCAAACCAGGTTCGTTTGGCCGTCCCGACGACAAAAGAGCAGACAACGAGAGCGAGAAAGAGCTCCACCGAGCGATAGACGAGCTGAACTGAGCTGAGCTGACTTCTTCGATTGATCCCTGGAATCAGTCGAGAGTTTGAGCGGTACCGTCCAAGTAGACAGGTAGACAGACGGACGGACAGAATCAAACAAGGGGTGATCGCTCGCTCGCTCGCTTGCTCAGACGACGAAGGAGAGCAGTGACCAGTTTCTGGACAAGTTTCTGGCGAGGTTGGGGTCGCGGGGGACATAGAGTGTGTAGAAGCTCGGGCGTAGCCTTCGAGAAAATTGGTTCGTCTGGTGCGGGGGAGTTCTTTCCTCGGGCTCGAGCTATGGCTCCTCCACTGACAGCTTCGCCGACTAGAGACAGTCAGCTACTCTGCGGGCATTCGAGCCAATTCGGGTAGAGAGCGTGGGGTGGGAGTCTCCCGTGACCCAGGAACCGAGGGCCCTACTCCGTCGTCTGGTCCCCCGGCCGACAGCATCGACCAAGGCAATCCAAGCCGCGAAAGCAGCGATCGTTCTGCATTGGTGGCTTGCAGATTGCTGGCAGGTTGGCTCTCCACTCGCGAGCCAACAGTGCTGCTGAGATGTTTCCTCCAGCATCGTCTGGTGGAATTTGATGCACTAAATGAATTTGTTTGAAACGGAGCTGGTGATTTTCCAGCTGCGTGTTCCAGCACTCGGGCACTTACATGGCGGGGTCTCTCGAAGAGCAGCAGCTGAACGTAGAGTGAAGAATCATCAGCAGGGCCAAATGATGTGAACGCGCGCAGAAATCGAATTCAGCTGTGGCGGGGGCGGGGGCGGGGGCGGGACGGGACTGGGCTGGGCTCGCAGTCCCACCGATCAGAAATGGAGGGAAGGTTGAGTACCAGTACACCGATCACTACGAGCAGTGGGAGCAGTGGAATAGGCTCCATCAGCAGTCTGCAAAGCAGTGGGATTCAGTCTGGCAAAAGCTCGCGGGGCTCTCCCTACAGGAAGGAGAGCGACCAAGACACTGATCCGACTGGAACTGCTGCACCGACCGAAGCTGGTGGAGATCGAAGCGTTCCTGAGAGCGAACCGTATGAAAGGAATCCGGACCTCCCTGCGCCGATTCCTGAACCTGCATTCCTCGTCCCCTACAGTAGGCTATGGTCGTTCGCCACTCCCCTGGATTTCGGCCTCGTTCTCGTCGGAACACTGGCTGCTGCGGCGAACGGTGCAGCTCTGCCCTTCATCTTGTACCTGCTGGGTCGCCTCGTCGATGCCCTGGGCTCCAACCAACAGGATCTCGAGCAAGCGTATCGAGAGATATGTCAGGTAAAGGACTTTCACTCGGCCGATTGCTTCGTTGTGTGATGTGGCCGCTTCACAGTTCGACCACACTAATGGCACGCGGAGAAGAGTCACCTGACAACGATGGATCGATTGTTGCAGATTGCGCTCATTCTCGTCTACCTCGCAGCCATCTCAGTCTGGATAACATGGCTAGGTAAGGTGCTCATCTCCAGGATTTAAAAAAATGTCTTTCGTTGTAGAAGCATCGATTCTTCCGTATCTGTCTCGTATCATAGGGTAGACTCTTGGTGCTACGAGAATGGCCTGCCATGGTGCAGAAGAGTGCATGACGTCGTGGGCCATGCCCTTCTCTCCGGGAAACCCCGAGATTTGCATAAACCCCAGGCAGGGCGTCCAGCGTCTGGCCTCTGGCTTGGACCTGACATGCACAGTTTTGTGGGCGAGCAGAGGTAGCATGCTGGATGTACTCTGGAGAGCGACAGGCACAACAAATCAGGACTCATTACTTGAAAGCGCTGCTGTCCCAAGATATAGAATTTTTCGACACGCAAACAACGACCGGAGACACACTGAGTATTCTTTCCAACGACATGCTCCATGTCCATGAAGCCGTAGGAGAGAAGGTATGATCGCCCTTTTTCTTCGTTATTATCTCCAGACGGCGGCGACATCGGGATTTCGAAATTTTTGCCCGCATGTGCTATAAGTTATGACGAACATTTCATGCAATGAGAAACTGAGCAAAATGAACACTTCTCAAGTCTGAACGCGTCAATTCATATTGGGCATTAAGAAGTCGAAAGCAGTGCAAGGATACTTGATAAGTCAGAGATGTGATCATTCTCAGATGCTGGGGTTGAGTGTCGTAAGCTGGTGATGTGGACGTCATTGATTTCAGTAGAGAACATATATGTAGCGTGTGAAGGTAGCTCGGAGAACGTCCGATTAATGTCCTGTTCCAAACGCAGGTGGGTATCTTCATCCACAATCTGGCAACATTTATCGTGGGAATCCTCGTAGCATTTATCCAAACCTGGCAGGTGGCTTTGCTCACATTGGGCACGGTTCCTCTGATGTTGGGAACAGGCGTCGTGTATGGCAAAGTCTACACCAAGTTACTGGGCAAGACTCAAGCATCGTATGAAAAGGGTGGCTCCATCGCTCAGGAGGTACTGTGAATGATTTCAGCTCTGCACGTGCCTCGCTCTTGTAAGTCCGGACGGACCCAAATCATCTCGAAGACCACCACTTCTTGAGAAATCTGGCCGTCAATCAAATCGCTTTGCTTGCAGAACCTGTGATTTCCACGAGCCTCAGTGCGGTACTAACAGGTCCGCACGTCGATCGGTGCCCGAAACAGGCATTTTCTCAAATTCGAACGGTGTACTCGTTCGTGGGCGAAGGCCGCTCGAATGCCGCATTCAGGCGAGCACTGGAGGCGACGACGAAGCTCGGATTCCTTTCCGGTCTCGTCAAGGGCATTGGAGTGGGAATGTCCCTGGGCATCGTGAATCTGTCATGGGCCCTCCAGTTGTGGTTCGGAGGAATTCTTGTACGAGACGGCAAAACCAATGGCGGGGCAATCATCGGAGCAATATTCAATGTGGTGTATGGAGGAATGTAAGTATGTGAACCTCTGATTTCAGCATCGCCCTCTGGCTCCTTGACGTCCTTGACAGCCCTACGGGCCCTGCTGGGAACGACATTTCTGATTCAGACTTGGGTTGGAGCAGGGCTCTGGGCCAGGCCATTCCCGAGATTCAAGTCTTCACGCGAGGCCGAATTGCAGCCTACAAGATTTTCCAGGTCGTCGATCGCCACACGGACTCCACGGAAGGCGATGTCCTGCACGCCGTCAAAGGCACGATCGAGTTCCGAAACGTGCACTTCACATACCGATCACGCCCGGATCATCCCGTCTTCGAGAATCTGTCCTTCAAGATCAGTGCCGGGGAAACGGTGGCCATCGTTGGCAGCAGTGGAGCTGGCAAGAGCACAGTCCTCTCGCTCATCGAGCGCTTTTACACTCCCAAGTCTGGTACGTCTTCGTGCCCTGGCCTCGGCCTCCGTGCCCCTCGTGCGCCGGCGTTGGAATCCATCGACTGTTAACAATTCTGTCGATCTGTGTGCGTCCTCAGGAGAGGTGACTCTGGACGGGAGAAACATCGACCAGCTGCAGCTGCACTGGCTCAGAAAGCAGATCAGCCTGGTGGGACAAGAGCCTGTGCTCTTCGCTGGCACCATCCGCCAGAACATCCTCCATGGTAAGCTCGACGCGACTGAGACTGAGGTGGAAACTGCCGCTATGGCCGCCAACGCGCACTCCTTCATCTGCAAGTTTCCGGGTGGCTATGAAACACCGGTAAGATTTCTCCTCTCGGCAGCAGAATCCAGCGTAGCTCATGATTCTCGTCTCAGGCTGCTGCAGAAGAGCACCGTCGAAATTGAGCCCGTCAGAGCGACGGAGCTCGGACACTTTATGAAATTGCAATTGGGTACAAGATTTGCGAGCTGCCGGAAGAAGAAATGGAGTAAAGATTTATGGGTTCTGGGTTTATTCGAGTGCAAGCCGATTGTGTGAAGACGATGGATCACGCCGAGATCGAGTGAAATTGCAGAGCAACTGAACGGGAGAGCATGGTGTGTCGTCTTGCAGGTGGGCGAGAGGGGCCTGCAGCTGTCGGGAGGGCAGAAGCAGCGTCTGGCCATAGCGAGGGCGATCGTGAAGAAGCCAGCCATTCTGCTTCTCGACGAGGCCACGAGTGCTCTCGACGTTCAATCTGAGCTGCTGGTGCAACACGCACTTGATTCTGTGATGGAAGGTCGCACGACAGTCATCGTCGCCCATCGCCTGTCCTCCGTGAAGAACGCAGACATGATCCTCGTTCTGGACCGCGGCAAGCTGGTCGAGAGGGGAACTCACGCTGACCTTCTCCAGAGAGGCAGCCTCGGAGTCTATGCCAACCTCGTTCGCCTTCAAGAGCGTCAAGAGACTCGGAGACGAGATGATACGGAAGCGAGGTCCTCCCTTTGCCAGCTCCCAAAGTAGAAATCACAAGATCTCGATGCTCATTTCCATTCCTGCTGTGGACGTCAGTCAGTCAGTCAGTCAATTAATCAATCAATCAATCCAGCATTCTTTGACCAGATGTTGTGTCCATCGATCATGGTCGAACATAATAGACTGCTCTGTTGTGTACCACGAACTGTCAGTACGAGATCGTCTGGGCGTCTGATGTGCCTCACGTTCTCGTGTTACTGGAGGCAGGTCTGGGTTGGGAGGAGGCAATTATTCGCTGGGAAGCAGCCCCCCACGAAGCTTTCCACAGTCGCTGTGTGCATCACCACTGCCGAGCCATCTTCAGTCTCCAGTGACACCTCGAGGATTGGAGTGGCAGAACACGTCGTCCCCAGCCTCACCGTACATTCTCGAGCTGCCGCCGTCTCCAGCGTCGCCGTCGCAGTCCAAATCCGCCAAGAGCATGAGAATCATCGAGTACTTGCGCGAGAAGCCCGAGACGCCGTTCGCCAAGCGTTCGTCCAAGGTCAGCTACTGGAGCTTGTTCAAGTCCTTGGCTCCGGAGTTTGCATCGTCGAGTCTGGGGACTTTGGGTGCCATCGTCACAGGATCCTTGAGTCCCCTGTTCACTCTCTTCCTCTTCGACATCGTCGAGCTGTACTACACGCCGTCCACCCAAAAGACGAGAGACAAGATTAACTTCTGGTGTTTGGTCATCGCCGGCATCGGAGTGGCCAGCATCTGCTCCAACATTGTACAGCACTTCTATTTCAACAAGGCTGGCGAGCACGCCAGCAACTTGCTCCGTGTAAAGTTCTTCGAAGGTATCGGCCCAAACCCACAACTTTCTGTTCTTTTGGATTCAATGGACGCTGGGCTGATCATGTGATGGGATCCCCATTTGCAGATGTCGACGTCTGACAAAGTAGATTCAGTAAGTGCAGATGCATTTTTCAAGTTTCTGTATTGGGCTCGATGGGTGTTTGATGGATCGCATGTTGTGACCGTGAATTTGCAGCCACCATGAAAAATGAGGTGGGATGGTTCGACGCCGAAGAGAACTCGAGCCCGATACTGGCGAACAAAATGGCTTCGTGTGGCACGATGGTGAAAGTCGCAATAAGCGATCGGGCGTCTTCCATCTGTCAGTACTCTGTATCTCTTCTGGTGGCAATGGTTCTGGCCTTCGTGATCGAGTGGAGAGTCGCTGTTGTGGTGATCGTGCTCGTCCCTTTCACAATGATGGCCGGCTCACTGAGGGTACGTACTCCATCTGGTCCTGAAATACAATTCATCTGGATACATATATACATGAATGGAACACTTCCGCCTGGTTCTGATGTTCGTGTGATTTGGATAAATGCAGAGCGGGTTTATGAAGCAGGGCTTCGCAGGGGACCTGCAGAAGTCTCACGAGAAGGCGACTCAAGTGGCCGGAGAAGCAGTGTCCAACATCAGGACGGTGGCAGCCTTCTGCATGGAGGAGTACACTCTGAGGGTGTTCAGCCAGCACCTCAAGGCGCCCATGAAGCAGAGCATCGTTCGTGCGCAGAGAGGAGGCTTCTTATTCGGGCTCTCTCAAGCGCTGAACAATCTCGCCAACGCCATGTCTATTTGGTACATCGCTCTGATGGTCAAGAATCGACATGTTTCGTACATTCCAGCTCTGAAAACCTATCAAATCCTGTCGTGGATGGGGTGGCTGATGGCCGAGGCCATGAAGCTCTTTCCAGACTTGAACAAAGGTGTGGAAGCCACCAAGACTCTTCTCGACGTAACCAACCGCAGGTCGGAAATTGACTCGGACGCCATCGATGGCCTCAAGCCTGTGCATCTGAAAGGACGAATTACATTCCAGAACGTGATGTTCTCTTACCCCACGAGGCCCACAGCGGTCGTCTTGAGTGACTTCGATCTTACGATTCCCGAGGGAGAAACCGTGGCCTTGGTCGGTCCTAGTGGATCTGGCAAAAGCTCCATAATTGCTTTGATGGAGAGGTTCTACGATCCCACAGCAGGTAAGGTTTTATTGGACGAGTTCGACATCAAAACTTTGAACTTGAAATGGCTCAGATCTCGGATAGGCCACGTGCAGCAGGAGCCTGCTCTGTTTGCCATGTCCATAAGAGAAAACATTCAGTATGGAAGAGAGATTGCAAGCGAAGACGAAGTGGTGGATGCTGCAAGAAAGGCCAACGCCCACGGGTTTATCAGTGGGCTTCCTAATGGCTACGACACACTAGTGGGAGAACGAGGAGTGCAACTCTCTGGGGGTCAGAAGCAGAGAATAGCCATTGCCAGAGCTATCATTCGGAATCCCCAGATTCTGCTGCTGGATGAAGCAACCAGTGCACTGGACTCGCAGGCCGAGAAGGTGGTCCAGGATACTCTGGACAGCATCATGCTGCAAGACAATCGCACCACTGTGGTCATTGCACATCGCTTGTCAAGCGTCAGGCATGCCGATAGCATAGGTTTTGTTTTGAACGGGCAGATTATCGAGAGAGGAAGTCACGCTACTCTGATGAGAAGAAATGGGGCCTACGCCAGACTAATCAACCAACAAAACATCCCATCTTCGTTGTAGAGAAACGGTGCTATTCTCGTCCGACTGAACGGGGTTACTACCCACTCATCCGGCAGTAGGAGGAGCAGCTTACAGGATGGAACACAGGACCGGAGATAACCCTCGTTCGTGCACGAGAATGCAAACCTTGTAGGCCACCCCAAGAATGTCAGACTAGCTTTCTTGTAAAAATTAGTAGCACGGCATTTCAGCAGAGTAACGTAGCGGTAGAAAAGTGCCACTGAAAGTGGTGAATATTGTTTACTTTATTCTTCTTATTGGTGAAATAGATATTCTTTCACTATGGAGCCTGCGAGCGGTGAGTATCTCACTAATCTCAAAGCAGGACTTCACTGCAAACCGGCGTTCCTGAGAACCTGATGTGTGCTGTCGAAATTTTCGGTCAACGACATTCACTGCCTTACATTTTGCAAACTTCGAAACTCATTTCATAGCCATCTAGACACTAAGCAAGGTCAGAGGGCACTCCCTTCCTAAGGAATCAGCAAAAGTGCCATGTCCCGTGCAGAGCATCATCAGCTTGGATCAAACCTCATCCAGTACTGGAAATTGAGAAACGAGGTGGTAGCTTTATATCATGGTAGAGAGTTCCAAGTACTTCTGTCAGGCTAAGGAATAAGGCGTAGAGCTCATGAGCACAAGATCAACCAGGCAAGCAGTCGAGCCTGACCATCCTCAGAGCCTAGAGAACAGGAGAAACGGAGCGCGTTGCGTTGAATGCGAGTATCGGCCACAAATGATGCTATGGCAGTGCTACTCCGGCCTTGATTTCATGGTTTTATTTCACAACAACGATGTCCACATAGCAAGCAAAATGAAGAACACTCTCGCTAACACCTTCTATGCAGCAGCCGTCGTCTTGGCATTCTGCTCCTCCCATTGCTCAGGTGTGAGCGCTTTCCTGATGGACAGAGCATGGATGTCCTTGATCTCCTCTGTCAGAGCTGTATTCACCACCCTGTGACGCTCCAGCATTCTCTTGCCGACGAAAGCAGCCGTGGCAATTTCGACGTCAAAGCTTGCACCGCAGCTACAAATGACCACGAGCCGTTCTACGAGTTAAGCCCAGCTTTGAAAGAATTTCAGAATTTTCTGTGGATCACTCTGGAGGGTGACGGCAACAGAGATCTCCAGTTCAATGTTTGCAACCCTGGAAACCTCTTGAAGAGCCCAGTAAGGAACCAGCAATTACTACCGAACGTGACTCTGGAACGTAAAAGAAGCCCTATCTTTATTCAGTATTTCCTTCATCTCCATGAAAGCAGTCAGGCATTTCTTGGCACAAATCCCTAAAACTAATTCGACAAAGGAATATTGATGCGGAAGTACTCACCCGCCTGATGTATCGATCACCTTCTGCTCCCGACGTTTAATATGGCACACGAGCACACAGAAGAAAATAAGAGGCGAATTTAGCGATAGCCACAAATACAATTAACAGATGTCCATGCAATACAGGATAGAGACACAAGCTTCGAAGAGCCGAGAGAAATTGCATAGGAAGGATGGCGCAAAAAATTCCGACATATCAGTCGTTCATCAAGCGAGAAGAATACTGAACGACAAAGATTCTCAATCAAGCAGAACGTCAGACCCTACTTTCAGCTGAGCTCCAAAAGCACAAGAGGATCGACAACGACAGAGATTGGGCCCCAGATGATAAAAAAGCCATGACTTGGAAATTGCGAAACGAACTCCGCTGCTGACGATGAATCCTAGTCACTTTTGGTTAAAAGGGTTCATGATGCATCCGCATTCAACAGGCGTCCATCTGGTGCATAAAATCAAAGGGACCACGGAGCGACTCAAACATCCCTACAGTGCGAAACTACAGAAGCTGAGACTTTTCAAAGATAGCCCACATCCCGATCACAATCCCTATTCACATCGCCAGATCTCTGACTGCAGAATTCATCTGCAGTCGGAATCATCCGCGCAACTGGCTTTTCGAGGAGCATTCGTACAGCCACTCGCACCCACGTGACGCAGGGCGTATGCAGCACGAGAGCAGCGACGAGAACACGACTGACAGTGCACGCAATGGAGCAGAGCAGCAAAATAGCAGCAGTCAGAAACTCACAAGGTACGTCGGCTGCAGCTTCTGGGTGAGAGTGGCCTCCACAGATTCCTTGGTGACACCCATGGCTGCAGCGTCCAGAATATCCGGAGTAGACTCGAGGCTCGGCCTTGAGATCGAGGAGGAAAGAACAATGACAATCGATCGACGCAAGATTCACTTCTCTTCGTCTTCGTTGAACAGCCACGCCCCACCCAGCCCACAAAAGATCGGATCAGCCTCTCTGACGAAAAGAGACAAGCAGCGATCACTTTTCTTCCCTCGCGATCGCTACTAACCCAACGCCCTCGCTAATCACTCCGACCCTAATCGAGCCGCACGGCAACCAATCGCCAAACGAACATGTGCCCGAAGACACGAAAATTGCATGACCCACGTACTGCGCTCGCCCTCTCACACTACAGTACAAGAATGCGTTTGTGGATCCGGCATCACCCTCGCACTCGACATGAGTGACGTACACGAGGCGTGTCCTTTTGCGACAACATGAGAGAATCGCTTTTCGTGCATCCGTTCACATCAAATTCTCAAGCGCTACGGAACGCTGTACTGAGGAGGCCCCGTACAATGTCATGAGCTCTCATCACGGCGACTCACTCTGGTCATCGTACCGCTCGGTTTTCGATTGCTCCCGTCACAAATCGGCTCAGCCGGCAAAAGTGGTGCCGGGGACATCGCAATTCCTGGGGTTGCATGTGCATTACGAAGTACTTAGGGAGATTAGCAACAGCGTCTGCTTAACCACAGAGCTCCGTGTTCACCAGTAAAGGGAAGAGGAGAAGGGATATCCATAACCATGTCGCCCTGAATCGCTGGTCGAGGGAGATAACATCAACACTTGCCCTCGAGTGGGGATGCAGTTGCACGCACGAATGCGATCATTGATTTTGTGCGCCTCGTAACTTCCCGGGCCTATTTGCAATGGAGTGGGGTTGGGGTTGGGTTGGGGTTGCGAAAGGTCCGAGTCCAGACATCGTTATCTCCAGGCCTCGTACATCCATGAGGCTTGATTGGTGGATGCACTGCTTCTAATCATCTTTTTGCGTGAACTTGCTCGACTAGGAACAACCGAAACGTGCTCGTCACTGTGAAATGAAATTCCTCAGCTCTGGGATGTTCACGAACGTAGAACAAATTTCTCAGCCGTGAGTTCGAGGCATCTTTTATTATGCTTTGGGTGACTTGTGCCTGGAACTGACCACCACTGCCCGATCGATGCACTCTCGGATCACTCTGGTGTCGACGACCGACGCATCCCAGTGCATTCGTCGCCCTGTACTGTGGTGGTGTTTCTCGTACGACGGCGTTGCTAGATAGTGGACTGGACTGGCTATTGTGATCGCTCTCTTCTTACATTCAGCGAAGGAATCATGCTCCGAGAGAGTTGATGCTCCGGGGCAGAACACTCATTGAATGTGCACCGACAAGCGTCACCTAATTGAGCATCTGTCACCGAACATGTTCTTCGGAGACAATCTCATTCGCTGGAACGATCGAACGCATATTCCTTTGCAGCATTGGCGATGTCGATCGATAAAAAATTGAGTTCATGTTCCGAGTAAAGATTCCGAAACATGAACTCCGAGACGAGCGATGTTGTAAGAGCACTAAGCCTGTACCTTGCCGAATGATCAATGCCTGCGTTCTGCCGCTACAGAGCGGGCTGTCATCGAATCTCGTACTTTCCGTTCGAGGAAGTGGTGGAATGCTGTCAGAAGCTCATAGTAAAGAGTTCTGAGCGAATACCGTCGCAGGAATCGGCGTCCTCGCCTTCCATTTCCTTCTCCACCGCTGAACAGAACGGGCCGTGCACAGAACACTTTAGAAACTTTGAAGGAGATCGGCCATAAAATATCTGAAGAGCCGGGAGCAGACGAGAATCCCGGACGAGAAACCGCACAATCCATGGGAGGAGCTCAGTGTCCTGCGATGGTTTCAGAAGGGCCTGCCAGTCTCATACATTTGGCCATGATGACGGAAGCTGCGTCGACGTGCTCACAGCCCAACTGACTGACGACAATCGATCTCCCGGTGGCCAGCCAGATGTGTACGATCCATATCCACTGGTGGAGCTCGAGGCCCCAAAGTGGGCGACAGAAGGAATCGCGCGATGGCCACATCCCAGAAGAGCTGGTTATCCAGAATCCAGCCACCGGTGCGGAATGTTACAGTACTGTCGAGACGAGCTAGAAATTTGGCATCGTCTGCGAGCGGAGAGGATGATGATGCGAGCTGAGCTCAAGCAGCTGCGATTCCGGGACACGATGCACATCGTGAGACACCGCAGAGACGAGCGGTCAGAGCGTCAGAGCGCTGGATCCCAAATCGAGTGACGATGGTTGCTCGCCATGGGCCTCTTTCGAGCGGCAAAACGAAACATGTTCCTCGCCTCGCAGCCACCCTGCGTCATCCTTCAGGTCTGCTCCCCATCACAATTCAGCGTACACTCCCCCTTCACTTCCGTCCGGTACACCTTCGTCTCTCGTGAGCATTAACTCGATCCCGTGCTTGCATCGCAATTCTTTCGGGCTAATCGGAGGAGGAGAGAGAGAGAGAGCACAGGAGCGCGGCTTTCCAATCTCGAAAGAAGAATCCAAGAGAGAAAGAACAACTGATGCTGATCTTCACCGAGTATAGAAGAATTTTACTATTCAACAGCAAATTGTACATCGTCTTACTCTGCACAGCATCATCGTCCTTCCGTCTGAACTTCCACATCACCACCACCTGCAAGACATGAGGCGCACAGCCTTAAAATGTTTCCAGAGCCCAGATAGCAGCGCCGATCTCCAGCAGTCCATCATATGCAACCGAGCTCGTGTCGTAGAATTTCCACCCACCTTCTGCATAGCATCGACGAACAGTTGTTATAAAGACAAGCATCTGCATGGACTGTCGCCAATTAGCTTCATCAGGTTTTTTGGTTTTTTATCCACAGAAAAGGCCAGTGACATGGTCGACGACTTCACTGTCCGCTTGGGGACCTGCGTAACAAGAAGTGCAGAATCGTTCGACTCAGATGATTTCAAAAGCGCATGGCCATACTGGATCATGATCTCTAATCGAGTGCCTGAAAGTTGTACTGTCTGAGGCGAATGGGCCTGCTGTGGGTCTTGATCAGATATTCTTGTCCGGTAGCACAGTAATTGAGGTGGAAGTTTAATGTAGAAAATGTTTGATGAACGTGGCTATTAGCAATCTGCCTCGCTCAGCGCTTCGGTACAACTTGTGGTTATTCCATTTTGAGTAACGAGTTGGTGATGTATAATTGAAAAAAAAATCTTCTCATCTGTCAGACGAGAACTGACAGTGCAGGACGAAGTCGGCTGCATTTTCTCTTGCCTTTTTCTATGAGAAAGTCACGAGTCGATCTTCATGAAAATACTTCGAGATCCCTCAGTTATTAACTCCGAGCCGCTTGTACGGCGGTCATCATGTGAACCCAGGCCACCCAAATACATCATCAGAGTTGCGTAATCGAGTCAGAAACTTTCCTTACGCTCTAAAGTTGTACGATTTTCCTACTCGTGTCAAAAATTGCGATGTAGACCAAGTTCGTTCGATTTGTATACATCATTCAAATCATCCATCACTCAGGCATGGGTTCTTTCCAGCTGATCGAATTCGCATATTTTTGAGCTCACTAACTATCAGCATTCGTCGTACATGGACCGATGTCATCCTCCCCTGTCTGAAGAAGAGTCTTGGAAACATTGTGAACTTTCCTGCTGAAGTATTTGCACAAAACCAATATTCCTTAACAGTCAGGTTTTGAGCGACTTCTTCTTTCCAGAAACAGAAGGTCCTGCTGGTTCGATTCCACTCACAGACTCGTAGTCGGGACCTTCGCGGGTGACAAAACCAAGTGCTCATCATGAGCATACAAGCTTGCCGCATATGACCTCATGTCCTGACCTATCTTGCCTGTTTCTGGTTGTAATGGAATCTAGAGGGGTAGCACCGCAATATAGCTGATGAGGTAGGCTCTTTTCGAGTGTTTTAGATTTATGTGAGCAGACATTCTTGCCTTCTCAGCAACGTTTGTGGTCTGTTCTTTTTGGACGGATACAAATGACTAATTGAAAAAAAATATGAGTAGCGAGAGTCAATCACGTGATCGAAGAATTCGATGCCGTCTGTATGCATCTGCTGATTAGGCGACAATGACTTTCAATGGCATGAAAGGGATGTTTCATTGTGGCAGCAGTATTAATTTGGTAACCAAACTTCACGTTAGGTTTGCACAATGTTATAAACCTCAGATCCAGTCTGGCCTTATGAGTTACGCAATCAAGTGAGGACAGAGTTTTTTGAGAGCAAACATTCCCGCCTGAACTTTTTATCTACCTGTTTGGATTTGTTCATTGCACGAGAGACGCCAAAAAGGTCAGTAGGCAGTCTTGAATGACTCTTCAGTCCTGTGGGTCTATGATTTCTCAGTAAGTGATTGGATTGTCGCTCAAGTATGTCATGGGATGAAAGTGATGTCTCGCATCATATTATACACATTGTGTCCGATGAAGACATAAATTACACGTCTTGGCATACGAATTAAATTCTACGAAAGCTCTACTTACTCTGACGGAATAAGATCTTATGTGACTCAGAAAGTCAGTTATTGGAGAAACACATTTGGACGTAGAATGTTCTAATCAATCAGACATTATTACTTTCAAACATTCTGGACCCTTCATGCTTTATTATAGTACAAACCCCTTTCTAAATTTAATTCTATCAAGGCACATGGAACTTTCTTAATCAACGGATGAAACCTAACTCAAGTTGGCCTAAGGTATATCAAGCATGTTCAGAGCCTTCTTTTGCTTTCGGCCAGATTTGCTGATCACACAAAGATTTCTCCGTCACATGAAAGATTATGTCAAAAGCGGCGCACAATGATGATGATGGCAAGACGACATGACTCCCGTGACTGTAATTTCTGCTAGCTTTACACGAAGCGAGCTCACGTCTTTGAAAAGTATTGCGATATCCCCTACGTACAAATGTTCAAGACGAGGAGAAAGCCCATCTTCAGGACTGAGTGTTATCTTTTTACAAGAAGAAAAGAGATGAGCTAGTAGCTTCCTACATTTTCTGTTGTTGTGGCGTCCAGAGACAGACTATGATAGACAGTACTATGCATCCAGAGACCTCAAGTAAGTTGCCATTTTCATATCAATAATGACCTTGGAACATTCTGTCGGAAGGTCGGAACCTAAGATCACAATGTCACTCATGTCCTACAAATTCTGACGTGCCATGGCCCATGGCTGCAGAACCAACCTCCTTAGCGCAAGAGAAGAATACATCACCTGGCCCCAGTAAACAAAAAATGTCCCACACTGGATTCCTTCTTTTCACCAAGAGTGAGTTCTGTAGTAGCTTCTCACTTAAGTTTTTGCAAATGCCATGTGGCTCATTCTAAAAACAACATGCTCGAATGTAACATTTTAATATTGTTTTCTCCGAGGAACGAAGCTTTTCGAGCTATAC